AAAAAATTCACATTTTGGTTTCAAAGGAAGCACCTACGTGGGGTTTGGAAAAGGTGTTTCTTCCTGTGTGGAGAGACAGAGGGAAGCTCAGTAGGTTTGCAAAAGCAGAGGCACACAGAAAATGATTTCAGTTTATTTATTTATTTTTGCAAAATTCAGCAGCCTAGTTAGTAGGGGCTACCTTCCCAATGGGTTGAAATGTCATTGAAAAGTTCATGCGACCAATTCAAAATTACAACCACTAAGAAGTTGATTAAAATTCACAGGGAGTTCGGCTAGGTGCTAAATGCAGTGGCAATGCTCTGGAGATAAATATTTTGGAAGCAAGACATCCCTGCAAAGACAGATCAGCAGCGGGCAAGCCTGGGCCTCCGTTTTCGGCCCCTGGGATACTGAAGAGGTACCTCCGAAAACGAGCAAAGTGGAAGCCGCAAGGGTTGGGAGCTCACTTCTCATTTTGGAAATGAATATTTTGGGGGTGGCAGATCCTGATGAGAGGGTGCTGTGCCGTACTTAAAAGGCCATTTTGGCCTGGGGGGGGAAACAGCCTGAGTGTGTGAGGAGGGGGCTGCAGGAACAGACTCAGGAGCTGCGCTTTGCCCCCCCCCTGCTCTCGCATCGGGTGAGCCTTGGGTAGCGAGGAGGTAGCCTTGCAGCCAGGCCTAATCCTGCCCTCCCTCTGACAGGGGCTGACAGGGGGTCTTGGGCTGGGGGCCTTGCTGGAGCTCAGAGGCTGCCCGTCTGCACCCAAGGGGATTCCCCCCCCCCACTTTCTCACTTCAGGGCGCCCGGGCTGGGCGGATTGCAGGGGGCACTGAAAGGAGGGGACTTGGCCCCTTGCCTCCCCCCCCCCCCGGGAACGAGGGCAGCCCAGCCTGGATCCTCTTCCAGCGGCAGAGCGGGGAAGGGGTCCCTGAGCATCATCCAGTCCAGCCCCTGTCAAGGAGGAAACAAGGGGGGCGGGGAGGGGGGCCCTCTATGGCCTGGACTTTGGTCCCCCCCCCGCCCTGCCTGCCTGTCTCCCACCCCGTGCAGCTGAGCACCCGCCAGGCAGAGCCCCAGATCCCAATCCCCCCCTCGCCCACCCTGCCTTGCCCCCCCAACGGCAGCTGGGTCCGAGCCTCCCGGCCAGCCCCTCTGCACGGCCAGGGATGGGCTGGGGGGGTGAGTGGGGGGGGTCTTCCTTCCCGATCGCTCCCCTCCAAGTCTGGTGCAAGGCGCCTGGGGCCGGGGGTTGCCCCCCCGCCTCCTCCTGGCCTGCCTTTGGAGAGGATGGGAGGGGGGTGGCCCGTTTTCCTCCCCCCCAGCTGCCCTTTTAAAAGGGGGGGGCGGTGGGAGGCTCGCCTCTGCTCCAGGGTCCTTTTGCGGGAGGGGGGAGG